GAACGCGGGTCCTTGTGCTTGCAGGACAGGTGGCAGAACCACTGAGCTAAATCCTCAGCCATAGGCTTCCTATTTGTAGAACAATCTTTGAAACAGAAATTAAGCAGGTTCCCAGAAAACTACATGAAGCCTTTCCAGAGTAACACCTTCAATGAACTAACCACCTTCCACTAGGCCCCAGCTCTTCTAGATGCCATCATCTCCCAATATTACCTAACAGGGGACCAAGTTTCCAGCAATACTCAAACAAATTCAAATTTAAAGAAACAGAAAAACCACAATAGAGTTAAGTAAAAATCAACAATGGATAGCTGAAAAATCCCAAAATACTTGGGAAATGAGAAAATACACTTCTAAAAAAAATGGAGTTGAATAAGAAAGCTCAAGAAAAATTAAAATATACTTTTAAGCAAATGAAAACAAAAATATATCAAAATGTGCAAGATGCAACAAAAACAGAACTTACAGACAAATCTACACTACTAAATACACACATTAGAAAAGATCTGAAATTCTGAGCTTCCACCTTAAGAATCAGAAAAAGTGGCCAGGGATTTAGCTCAATAGTGGTGCCACCTGCTTCACAAACACAAGGTCCTGAGTTCAATCAATGGTATCAAAAAAAAAAGAAATTAGAAAAAGAGCAAATCCATAGTAAGCAGAGGAAAGCAAATAAAAATTAAGAGTGGAAGTCAAAAAAACTGAGAAAATCAATGAAACCAAAGCTAGTTCACTGAAAAGGCTAAAAAAAAATCCATAAGGTTCTAGCTATGAAAAAAGAAGAAAACACAAAGTACTAATATCGGAAATGAAAGATGGAGCCTCACTAAACATCTAATAGACATAACTAGAAACAATTACCTGAAAGTCATAATCTGCCAAAACTCACACAAGAATAACAGATAGGCCTACATAGAAAAGAAAACTGAATCAATAATTAATAACTTTCTTTAAAAAAAAAAGCACCAAGCCTAAATGGGTTCAAGGATAAGTTCTACCAAACATTTAAGGAAAAAAGTATACAAGTCTTTACATTGTCTTCCTAAAGATAGAATCAGGGGGAATACATTACTTCCAAACTCATTCTATGAAAGCAATATTCCTGTAATAGAAAACCAGATAAAGATACAACAGACTAGTACTTCTCAAAAGCATAAATACAAAATCTTCAACAAAACAATAGCAAATCCAATTTGACAACGCATAAAATTATCCACCATGTTCAAGTGGGATTTATCCCAGATATACACAGAGGACACAACATTCAAGTATCAATTAATGTAAGCCATAAATCACATCAACAGGCTGAAGAAAAAGCATATCAATATGTACTGAAAAAGCAACTGATATAATTCAACACCTTTTCATTATTAAAAAAAAAAAAACCTCAATGAAATGGGAACAGAGAAACTTTCTTCTATTCTTAATGCAATCTGGATACTCAATGAAGAATATCTATAAAAACTTCAGTTAACTGGGAAACTTAAAGCTTTCCCACCATGATCACAAAACAATGCAAAAATGTTCTTTCACCATTTCTTTTACCACTGTACTGAAAAATCTCTCCTAATGCAATATGACGTGAAAAAGAAAGAAAAGGTTTACTGAATAGAAAAAGTAAAATTGTCGGGCCTGAGATTAAGCTGAGTGGTTCTACTGCCTGCCTCAAAAGCACAAGGTCCCAAGTTCGAACCCCAGTACCAAAAAAAAAGAAAAAAGAAAAAGCTCCTCAAAATAATCAGTGATAGCAAAATTACAGGGTACAAAATTTATATGCAAAAGTTAATCCTCTCTTCATATACCAGCAATGAACAAGGCGAATTTAAAGTTAAAAATATGTTACATTAGGACCTCTAAAAATTAAATACTCAGGTCTAGGTTTAACAAAATTTCTTTTCTGGGAGGAGGGTTTTTGTTTTGCTTCTTGGTTTTTTTAAGACAGGCTCTTGCTATGTGGTACAGGCTGGCTTCGAACTTACCATGTAGCCCAGGCTGGGCCTTGAACTCAAGGTGATCCTCCTACCTCAGTTAAACTCCCCAGTGTTGGGATTATAAGTACGCATCACTACACCGAACTCAAGTTTAACAAAATGTGTACAAGATACAAATGAGGAAAACTTACAAAACTCTACTAAAAGAAATCAAACAATGCAAAGATATTCCATGTCCACGTATAGAAGACTCAACATTGTCAAGATGTCAGATCTTGTTTCAAATCCCTACAATTTATTGCAGATATTGACAAAATGAATCTAAAGATTACAATGAAAGGCAAGATACCCAGAATGGCACAATACTGAAGGAAAAAAGTAGAAAGACTAATACAACTTGACTTCAAGACTTATTACAAACCTATTCTACATAGCTATCAAGACAATATGGTTTTGTCAAAAGAATAAACAAGTTAGTAAGACAGTAGAAAGCCCATGAATAGACCCAGATAAAGAGTCAACTGATCTTTGACAAAACAGCAAAGGAATTGTCATGAAGTAATAGATAATTCTTTTGATAAATGATGCTAGAGTAGCTTAACATATACAAAACAAAAACTCTAAACAAAGGACTTCATACCCTTCACAAAAATTAATCCGAGATGTATCACAGACCTAAGTATAAAATGCAGAAATACGAAACTACCATATGAAAGAAAACTTAGATGATCTTTGATATAACTTTTTTAGAAATGACACCAAGGCACAGTTCATGAAAGAAACAAGTGATAATCTGAACTTCGCTAAAATTAAATACTTCTGGGCCAGGAGTGATAGTGAAAACCTGTAACCTCAGCACTTGGGAAGCTAAGGCAGGAAGAACACTGTGAGTTCAAGCCCAGCCTGAACTACATAGTAAAATCCTTGTCTCAAAAACACTAAACAGGGCTGGGAATGTAGCTCAGCAGTACAGCGCCTGCCTGGCGAGCATGAAGCCTTGAGTTCAATTCCTGGTACCAAAAGAAAAAAAACAGAAAAAAGAAAATTAAATAGTTCTGCCCTGTAAAGGACAATGTTAAGAGAACCAAAAGACAAACTATACAATGGAAGAAAATATTTATTTAAAAAATCAGACAAAAATCTTATCTAAAGAAATCTTTTTTTTTTTTTTTTTGGAGACAGTCTCACTATGTAATTTATACTGACCCTGAACTCACTATGTAACCCAGGCTGGCCTCGAATTCCTGACAATCCTCTGCTTCTCTTATCTAAAACTTAAAAAAAGAAAAAAAAAAACATTCAAAAAAGAGACAATGAACATGATTATATAATGGACAAAACACTTTATCAGACACCTTACCAAAGATGACATACAGATGCTAAGTGTTACAGTGTGGGTCTGGAACATTCCCCAGAGTCACATGTGTCCCCAAAAATGCTGATGGTACTACAGGAGGTGCCAGAAACTTTAGAATGAGAACCTTAGTGGGAGTGTGCCTTTAATAAGTATATTTTGTCCTTGGTCTCACCACAGGTCCTGAAACAATGAAGCCAAGTGACCTTTGACTGAAACCTCTGAAAAGATGAGCCAAAATAAATCGTTTCTTCTTTTGTTTGTATCAGGTATTTCTTCACAGTGACAAAAAGGTAAAACATTAAGTAAGCACATGAAGAGATACTCTATACCATTTGTAATAAGAAAATAACAAATTATAACAATAACAAGATACCACTACACACCTACTACAATGACCAAGACCCAAAACATTGGCAACATCAATTCTGGAAATGATGTAAAGTAACTCATTTATGCTGGTATAAATGCAAAATGACAAAGACAGTTTGGAAGATAATTTGGTTATATCTTGACAACCAAAAAAAATTTTATAAGATCCAGCCATCATGCTCTTTAATCAAATGAACTGAAAACTACATCAACACAAAAACTTGCACACAGGTGTTGTGATGGTTTAGATCCCAGTGTCCCCCAGAAGCCTCTCTGGTGTAGAGGTGGGACTTTTGGAAACTGACTCGATCATGGCTGTATGTACTCATCAATGGGTTCATCCACAGAGGAATCCAGAGCCACATGTCCTGTTATGGGATGGTCATGGGGCATGATACGACCCCTGGCTTCTTCCTCCTGGCTCTCATCCTCACCACTGTGACATGAGCAGCTTTCTCCATCAAACCTTTCCACCATGCCCTTCCTGACTGAGAAGCAGCCAACTATAGGCTGATTCCTCTAATAATGACGAGCAAAATATAAACCTTTCCTCCTTTAAATTGTAGGTGTCAAGATACTGCCTCAGTGACAAGAAAGTGACTGAGACAGATGTTTATAGCAAACTTACTCATAATTGCTAAAACTGGGAAACTCTTTCACAAAATGTCCATGTGACTCATTCTCTCACATCCTCCAGGTTTTTCTACCAAACTAGAAGACAGTGTTGGAGGTTCTGATATCTGAAGGCAGTGGAGAATCCTGAAAAGAGCCCCTGAATGAAAGCAACAGCTGACAAGCAAAAAGAAATGATTAAGCTTTTAGAGCTAGGAAATTATACAAGTAGTGTAACTTTTGCAAGAATATATGTTCTTATTACTATAAAAAAAATATGACGTAGACTACAGTGTTTTTATTTGGCAGTTTACCTATTTCGAGCAGGAGATTTCCCAGCATCCTCTTGAACAGACACAAGTCTTGTGGAGAGGGAAGTATTTGAGGAGTCTGGATGAATCAAACTACAGAGAAAATGGGGAGATACTGAGATCATTTGGGACAGCAAAAGGAAAACCCTATTTTAACGAAGTGCTGCAACAGTGAGATTATGAGCCATCTCTGTTCATCCTTTAATTAAGATGGAAAATGCATAGGATTTAATCTTAAGTATATCAAATACCAAAAGGATGATAATGAAAGCTTGCATTTGAAATGCCAATAAAATTATCTGGATAGGTGACTACAGAACTTGCTTTTTATTTCTGTTTAAATACATCATTTACTTATTCCTCATTCCCTGAAGAGCTGAGAAAATAATTCATTAGGAAAATGTTAATTAAAGCTCTAAGTGTTTTGATATGGTCATATTTGGTGTTATGCATAAGAAATTATTTAGCTGAATAATCACTTAGAAACTAGTGAATCTAAGATTTTCTTTTCCCTCATTGAGTTTAATGGTACATTTTAGGTATACAGTACTGTTACATTCATCATTGGATCTTGTACCGCTACATGACAGGTCTTGGTTCTCATTTTTTCCCCTTGTCCCTGCCCCCACTTCACCCCCCCTCCCCTCCCCATTTACAAACATTTTATTTCCATTTTTTCATTTTCTCCTATTTTTTTTTCTTTCCCTTATTACCTTTCCCCTACCCTTCCCACTTTCCTACACCTTTAGCCCTTTTCTTCCTATTTCACATTATCTAAGATTTGAATTCAAACAATTCTAGGTAATTTCCCTGAAAGAGTTCACAGCATCCCATACTACCAGGCATTGTGGCATATTTAAATATACAGAAAGACAGAAATGTCTGTTAGAAGAAAAAATATCTAATTTCATTTGAAAATATTTATAAAAATCTTATGAGCATGCTCCTTCTCAAAGAAGATATTTAGAATATAAATCTCAATGACCACTATTGCCTATTCAACAAATATTCTCAGAATGTACACATTTCATGCACTGTTCTTGGTGCCAACAACAGAACCCTGAACAAGAAATACATAATGTCTCTCTTCTCATGAAGTTTAGATTCTAATTAATTTATATCATCACTATTCATAAACATGTGTGATCCTTCAGGAGGTGAGCTGAGGAGAAAGGAGAAAACAGTGAATTTGCAAAAAACAATTCAAAGAAAATAAAGGTTAACCAAAAACACTCATGGGTCACAAAATTATCAATATTTCTCAAGTTGAAATAAAATTACATTCAAGTGACATACCTTTGCCAGCCTAAATCATCCTCTAAGAATATGTTGCGGCTGGCTTTTCTACTCCCAACAGGCGTTCGAGGTTCACTCGGATCAAGGACAGACACAGAGCAAGCGGAATCTGAAAGAGCATTCAAGTCTTCCCCAATGGAATTACTGTCTGTGGAGTAAGCATAACTTAAAGCTATTTTTCTACAGTATGTACAAGCTCGGAGGTCCCCTAGGAGAAAAAATAAATAAAAAAGAAAGCAGATTAAATAAAAGTTAGCTTAGCAGTGATACATTACTCAACAAATTATTTTAAATCTTGGGGTTAATAGGTAATATATTAACAGAGAAATGCATTCAAATAAGGCCTACTAACAAAGACATTTTAAAGAAGTGAAATGCTTTGGTTGGCTCAGTTACCTGTTTTAAGAATCATCATTATGATAAATTAATCCAAGTACCCAAATTACCTCAAATGGAAAGAGAAAAGAAGGGAAAATAAAAAGCAGGTGTGTTATATACATGTACCATCTCCTCACAATGAATAGAATCATCATGTAGTGCAAACATATCCTATCAGTAATAAAAATTTACAAATAAAAAATTCTTTAAAATTTGACCAGCCAGGCATGGTCAAATATAATCCCAGAATTTAGGAGGCTGAGACAGAAGGATCACCTGACCAAACAGTACCAGAAAACTCTACTTTCAATAAAGTAAATATACCAACACAAATATAAACAAATACATTTTTCCTAGGCCTCGAGTAAAGAAGGAAATACTATTAAGGTCTCTATTATACAGTCCTGAAGAATGGATTCCCAAAGGGTGTAGAATTTTTAAAACAAATAACAGTCTTAAAAGTGATTTGATAGATAGGAATAAAAACTAAAACAAATTCTTATAGTAAGTGAAATGAAATGTTCCTGGGAGGACAAACAAGGATCCTTAATACTTCTAAATGTATTTGTGGGGATGCAGTCCTACCCAAGAACAAGCTTTCATTTTTATCCTGTTTTTCTCAAAGGGGTGTAAGTGTGTGTGTCTGCGCGCGCGTGTGTGCGTGCGTGCGTGTGTGTGTGTGTGTGTGTGTGCGCGCGTGCACATGCGCATGCTAGTGCATGTGTGTATGTGTTGGGGATTGAACCCAGAGCTTTGCCCTCTGAGCTCCATCCCCAGCCCTCAACAAACACCTCTGTATATTACTCTATCCCAGGCACTAAGCACTGAAGAACCAGGGAGCTGGGCCCATGCTCTTGTGTCCCTTATGTTCCAGGTCCTCCAAATTCTAGACCAGAGAAGGGGAAGGAAAAAGGCTGGCAGAGGCTCACAGTGCCTGAGAAGACTGACATCAGCCCTACGACCTCATCATGATCTGCTCTGATTTCAAACACTTGACCCATAAGGGAGGTTGGGATCCTAAGAGTTTTGTTGCTGTTTTGCAGTGTTAGCTACTGAAGCCAGGGCTTCACACATGCTAGACAACTGTTCTACCACAACCCAAGTCCCTAGCCCTCTGTAAATGCAGGTCACATAAAGTTACATGTCACATGATGACTTTTCAGGTAATGAATGAATCGTGCTGTGTTACACAGGTTAGTCTTGCTTGTGGGCTTAAGTGAGTCTACTGCCTCAGCCTTTTGATTATCACTATAACTTGATCAATCAAGAGGTGCAGTAAACATGACATGTGAGGGTCCAGCCAACACAACATGGTGTACTGCTTTACAGTAAACTTTTTTTAATAAGGAGAAAGAGTACACTCTAAAATAACAATAAAAATGATAGGATAGTAAAGGCATGAACGAGTGACAGTCATTTGCTATCAAGTACTGTGTCCTACACATAATTATATGCACTACAATTTTATATGACTGGTAGTGTATAGGTTTACCTACATCAGTGTCATCATGAACACCTAACTAATGACATTACAACAGCTACAGCATCACTAGGCAATAATAATTTTTGACACTCATGATAACCTTTACTATCACCATTGTATTATGTTGCCTGTCATTAGCTGAAAAGTCACCATATGGCATGTAACACTGCGTGGCCTGCTTTTATAGTGCACTATATTGTTACAGAGGGCTAGGGAGTTGGATCAGGGGGGTAAAACAATTGCCTAGCATATGTGAGGCCCTGGGTTCAGTTGTCAACACTGCAAAACAGCAACAAAAACTCAGGATCCCAACCTCCCTAAAGAATCAAGTATTTGAAATCACCAGCAGATCATGATGAGGTTACAGGCTGGATCTCTTTTTCAGTTTTGATGTGATTAACATTTACTATCAATTGATTCTACATAAAGCAGATGAAAGTCTTACCCAATCATCTGAATGCCTTAAAAGCAAAGACTACCATTTCCAAAAAAAAAATTCCCAAAACTGCAAAACAGAAATCCTGCAGGAATTTCCAGCCTGCTGGCCTTACCTAAAAATTTCAGACTTGCCAGCCACTAAAATCACTTGAGCCAATTCCCTGAGATATAGGTAAATACCTACCTACCTGATGTGTATATGTACATGTGTGTGTGCATGAGCATATACATGTGTACACAGTCCTGCATGGCTTTGTTTCCCTGAAGAACTCAAATAAAGATTTTGGTACTAAGAATGGTCTCAGGAGAACAGAATTTTAAGGGCAAGTTTTCTGAATTAGCTCTTCAGTTCCTGGAATCAGTTCTCTAAACTGGATTAGATATGAAGGCATTAATGACTCCATTTCTGGTAGCAAAGAGAACACCGATAGTCTATAGTGCACTACGGTAACAAAGACACATAAAACATTACCTATGGATATACCTAATCAATATTTATAAGGAGTCAGGCACAATGGTGCACACTTGTAATCTCAGCTACTCTGAGCCCTGCAGGAAGAGCCCAAGTTTGAGGGCAGCCTGGGCAACTTAGAGATTCTGTCTCAAAATACAAAATTGTCAGTGGTGGAGCACTCCTGGGTTTGATCCTCAGTAGTACTAAAAAACAAAACAAAACAAGAATCAAGGTTCTGGGTGATCACATATTTAAATACCTTAAAACATTTTTGTCGAACTACCAAGTAGCATAAATTTACAAGCTACCAGTAGTTGCTCCTAATAGCAGTGCACAAAGTGGGGAAAGAAAAGGATGACCTCAGAGATTCAAATTACCAGTTCAAGAACTGTACAAACTACCAGCAAGTTTTGTCTTCCTTGAAAAAATAAAATAAGCCTACCTCCTACAGCTTCAACTCTGACTGCTGAAAATCTAAGAGTGTCAAACTGCAAGTGGCTGCATTAAAACACAAACTGAGACTGAAGAACCCCACATGAAGAGAGAAACAGAAACTGAAGTGATAGGCCTATAAACCAAAGAATAACAGCGATTACCAGCAACCACAGAAAGCTACTAGGAGAGAAGTCTAGAACATTCTCCCTCAGAGCTTCCAGCAGGAATCAAGTTTGTCAACACCTAAATTTCAGATGTTTGACCTCCAGAAAAATCATACCACAAATTGCCACTGTTTTAAGAGAAAGAAGCACATGCATAAATTGAACTGCCAACCTTGTAGTACATCTGCCATTAAAATAACAACACTGGGGGCTGGGGATTTAACTCAGTGATTCCTCCACCTGCCTTGCAAGCACAAGGTCCTGAATTCAATTCCCGGGAACCAAAAATTAATTAATTAATTAATTAAAATAAAGTAACAGCACTGGTTGGGAAGGAATCAGATCCTGAAAACTAGAATGGAAATAAATGGCAACAACCTGATAAAGCTGGGAATACGAAATCCCAAAACTCTGAGTCTTCTTTGTGGTAGAAGTTGCCATTCCAGAATGGATCAAGAAGCAGGATCCAAGGGCTGGGGATTTTAGCTCAATGGTGCCATCACGTGCCTCACAAGTACAAGGTCCCCAGTCCAATGACCAGTACCAAGGGGAAAAAAAAAAAGCAGCAGCAAGATCCAACAATATGCTGCACACACACACACACACACACACACACACAAAAACACACATTTAATTCAAAACTAATTTACACAGGGCCAAGGAGGTAGCTCAGTGGCACTGTGCTGCTTGGCAAGCACGAGGTCCTAAGTTCAATCCTTGCTACTAGAAAAAAAAGAAAAGAAATTCATATAAGTCAAAGGATTGAAAATAATATTCCTTGCAGCATGGAATCCAGAAAAAAATCAAGGATAACTCACAAAAACACACATTTAATTCAAAACTAATTTACACAGGGCCAAGGAGGTAGCTCAGTGGCACTGTGCTGCTTGGCAAGCACGAGGTCCTAAGTTCAATCCTTGCTACTAGAAAAAAAAGAAAAGAAATTCATATAAGTCAAAGGATTGAAAATAATATTCCTTGCAGCATGGAATCCAGAAAAAAATCAAGGATAACTATTTTATTTAAGACAAAGCAAATTTCAAGCAACGAATGAACCAAAAAACAGAGAAAGCCACTACATCCTTGTAAATGGAACAATCCAAGAGGAAAATATAACAATCATAATTATATATGCATCAAATATCAGCACACCCATCTACATAAAACAAATAATAACAGATAATGAAAAATCAAGAAAGCACTAATACATTTGTAATGGATCAACTAAATGAAAAATTACCAAAGAAATATCAGAATTGAACCAAACTTTTGAAAAAATGGACTCAATCGATGTCTATAGTGTTCCACCCCACATCATCAAAATATACATTCTTCTCAGCTGCACACAGGACATTCTCCAAAACAGACCACGTAATAGCTTAAAGAACATGCTTAAGTAAATGCAAAGAAATTGAAATTATTCCATGCAAATTATCAGACCACAGTACAATGAAACTGAAAATCAATGGCAAAAAAAAAGCCTACAAGAACTTCCCAAACACACAGAAATTAAATAACACCCTCCTGAACAACCAAAGGGTCACAGATGAAATTAAAAAAGAAATTAGACAGTTTCTACAATTAAATGATAAGGCCAACACAACATACCAGATTTTATGGGACACAATGAAAGCAGTCCTACAAGGGAAATTTATAGCAGTGAATTCTCATATCAAAAAAATAGCAGGCTCAATTGAACAACCTAATTTTGGACCTTAAACTTCTAGAAAAAGAAGACCAAGTCAAGCCCAAAGCTTGTACAAGGGAGGAAATTATAAAGATCAGAGTAGAAATTAATGCAATGAGGCTAAGAAAACAATACACAGAGTCAAGGAATCAGAGTTGGTTCTTTAAAA